AGATTTCACCTCCTACAGAGACTCTCTACTTGACCGTCAATATTATTGACCGCTTTTTACAGGTAAGTTGATTAGAGCTTTAGGCTTTAATAATCGAGTTTTGTTTGTATATAATTACCTTGTGTATTTGTGGCATACAAGCAAATTTCATTGCTGGAACTGTTGTATTAGCGTTGTAAATTATCCGATCATAATAATACGTCTTGACTTAATTATTTGTCTGGTTAAAAATCGTTTTAGACCCAATCAATTCATCGAAGTAAACTACAATTGGTCGGTGTAACTGCTATGTTAATAGCTTCAAAATATGAAGAAATTTACGCACCAGAAGTGGCAGATTTTGTGTATATAACAGACAATGCTTACACCAAAAATGAAATATTAGACATGGAGGTGACTATGTTGAAAACATTAAATTTCAACTTAGGAAACCCTCTGAGTTTACACTTTCTTCGGCGTAATTCAAAAGCTGGAAATGTAAGTTATCTTTAAAATTGCTATAATTAAATTTAGAGCGTAAAGCTTAGTCCCAAAATATTCAAATTAGGTAGTCCTTGAAGAAGCTAACAAATTTTTCTAATGAACTTATTTGATAATTATAAAATTATAGCTTATGTGCTCATATTGTTCCATAGCACTTATACAGTATACGATATATTTACAATTCCTTTAGGTCGATAGCCAACACCACACCATGGCGAAGTATTTCATGGAATTATGCTTACCAGAATACGATATGGTCTCTCTTTTACCCTCAGAAATTGCCAGTGCATCTCTTTTACTAGCTGTTAAAATTTGTAATCAATTCGAATGGAACGCAACTTTACAACACTACAGCGGTTATACAGAAGAAAAGCTATATCCAATTGCTCGAAAAATTGTTAATATAGTATCTAAATCAGCTACATCCAAATATCAGGTTAATACTACTAAAAATTTCTTCCTGCACTTTATCGCTTACATCACAGCTTAATGTCTATCTAATATACTTCTAGACAAAAGACACTTATTAATCGCTAGTTCTGCTTTAACTCATAGGCTGTAAGAACCAAATATTCCAGCAGTAAGTTTATGAAAATCAGCTTAAGCACTGATTTGCAACCCGACAGGATTTCTAAAGCGTTTGGCAACTAAACATTTTTTTATAGATGGTAACAAAAACGTATTTAGTGGGTATATCGATGTTTACAGATTGCTATATTGTAAAGGCAATATTTACGGTACTAGAGAGATCATACTATGAAAAATTATTAGCCAAGAGCGTATATAATGATTGGAATACTGCCTCCTGTTCCGCGTATGAATTTAATATTAATAACTTGTGTTGCTATAGTTACGGTTGGCGGTTAGATAAGGTGTAATATTAGATTATAAATTGCCCAATTGTAAATTCTCCTCTAAGTTTATGTGTTACTCATTTGGGAAGGTCATTGTTATCAAACAGTAATTGTAAACTGAATTTAGCTTTGCCTTTTGGTTAGAAATGCTATAATATAACGCCTTGTGTAAATCTCGGGCTCATTTATTAATATTTTGTATGCAAAACCTAATAATACTTATGCGTATATAACACATTCTTGCTTTTCACTCATGTAATGTATTAAAAAACATTAAAAATTTTAAATTTAACAACAGAGATTATTAACAGTTTTTATTTTCAAGTAGAAGTAATCAGGGCTAACCCGACGAACCATCATCGACCCTATTCGCATTCATTATGACGTCGGCACTCTTACGTATTCATATGAGATCAATATACCACAAGAACCATATATCTTCGAATCACGGATAAGCATTCACATGGTTTTAAAAATAATAAAATAGCCAGAAAGTGGCCTAGTACACCGTACTAAATGAATAATATGTATTACTGTATAATTAAGATGATATACGCGATAAGGTACATATAATACAAAATCTTCATAGTACAGGTACGATTGTGCAACCTCATAACGTAAAAAAAAAGCAACACAAAAATTAAAAATCACAGGTAAGTACCATCAGATGGCTAGAAGTAACAACGACACGAACGCTTCACTATGCTAGACTAACTATTCTAAGTGTCAAAACATCACTAATACGTGTAAGCTTAGAAAAATTTATGGTTGGTACTAAAAATGAAAGACAATATAACTGTCTGCAACAAACTAGTAATAATCATTTTATATGCGGAGATATTTACTGGGAGATCCCAGAAGCTTGCCTTCTGGGATGCTTCTACAGCAATTTCATAACAAATAATTAGGTAATATCCATCCGATGTATTCATGTAAAACAGTAATTCTACAGATATTAGTAGAAATTGAGTATTTAACATGAATGCTAAATGTACTTCAGGAAATAGAAAATTGTTATATTATGGGTAGTTACAATAAAAATTTACAGAATATTACAGATGGCAATGAGACGCTAACTTTCTTCTTGAATATTGACGTTATTCCCGTTCTGTGCACTAAGAAGATTATGAAAATACTTCAGAAGTTAAACAATATTACGTCAATACTGGACTATCAACATACCTAGTGCCCATTTCCTTGCTAGAAGCGTCAATTTGGGCTTCGAGTTCCAAGCATGCTTGCTCAATATCGTAATTTTTTCGCACCATAGCAAACCAGCTGTAATTATATAATACATGTAAGAATATTATGAAGTAAAAGAACAGAAATGTAGTATAAGTTTGCTCTTAAATAACGTATTTAGCCTCAAACCTAAAACATCAATAAAACCTTGTCTATACCATGAAACTGTATGACGCTGGTTGCTCATATATAACCATTAGAATTATATTTTATTTTCAGCAGCAATAAACTGTACTCTGAATTCACTTACCTAGCTTCTAAGTTAGCCAATTCACTTCCACAGTTTGTCTATGTGTATAGCAGACGATAGATAAATATAAAATTCATTTCGCAAATACCTATGCGAAAGTATAAATTACTGTATTTACGCTACCTGCTCGTTCTTTCTTTGCCAATTAATTTCTTGAATTTTTCTCCTGTACAATAAAAGAATCAGAAATTTTTTCCATAACGTGAATAAGGTACCACAAACTTATCGATAACTTGAAAAATATTACCACCACTCATTGCTGAGAATGTAATAGAGAAGAAAATAGCCGACAAATAACAAATTACGCTTACGTTAATCCTTGCACTTCTTTTCTTTGGTTAGTTAGCATTTCATTTAGTAATCTACATCACAGACAAGTAAGATACAGCAAGCCTTAGTCATGTAACGCTATCGATGATGTCAGATTATATAAACTTTAACGTCAGATTATTACTCTATATAGACCCGCCATGAATTAGAGCCATATTTTGTCAATAGTTGTAAATTAATAATCCTGAAACAATAAAAAATTCCATCATATAGTCAATGAGTGAAGACTAGCTAATATACCAACAAAAAGTGCACTATCGAAGTAAAGTTACATCTAAACATAAGATCTATCAAAACATTAAAATATCCTTGGCTTATAATACGATTGAATAAATTTATACTACTACTGAGGCCATAAAATACCTAACAGCCTGGTGCTCTAGTTGCGCCGAAGAATTATCTACACATTCTTTCCAAGCATGCGGGTCATTTCTTTGAGTTACGGGAGGAGGAGGCAACTCGTACCTAATAAGAGTGTAGGAAAAGATTAAAACAACCACAATAAACCATCATTTTGTATAAGCTATACGCTTGTCAATAATTTTCAAGAGTTTTATGCTTGATCACTACCATATAATTGGCTAGTAGTTTGCAAGTTCTAGTAGCCATTGTTCAGTGTATTAGTTATTATTAAGAACATATTCGTATAATATTAATACCTTTTCATACTGAGAAGATCCATGGGTTGATTAGCAGCTATTCTTTCAAATTCTTTTTTCATAATAGGCGTCTAATCCATTTATATCATTATCATTAGTAGAGCTTTAACATCACGAAATGAGTAATATCTGAATGTCATGGATAGCCTTAATACTGCAACATTGCTGCACGAACAAATTACATCTATCGCCATTAGCTAGTACGCATTGGTCAATTATCAAACTGAGGGATATCAAGATTTATCAAGTTATCTTAGTCAAATGCTAACAATATGACATTATCATGTTGCTGAGATGAATAAGTATCCATGAAAGCTCGACAATAGTCACACTTTGAGTACTTTACGCATGTTAATCATGACTACAGTGAAATTTTAGCACTAAAGGCCTTGTACTGTAATCGTCATCAAGGTAGTTGTATTTCAGTTTCAGTTACTAACACGTCGTTAATATAACCATATTTCGCTTGAAGCTATTCAAAAATAACCGTAGAAACTTACTACGAAGGCGCTATCATTCGGTGGTGGTAAATTCTCTAAATATTTCTTAGAAGGTCGAAAACGTTTCGTTTCTTCTTCAAGTAGATGGTGTACCTGCACGATAATAAAAGCATAATATAAATCATTTGAAAACGATATGTTCATCATTGCTCATGGATTAAGAACTATTTCTATTCCACGCAGACTACATCCATTGTAAATTAATGTCAATTATTCAAACTTCAACATCGTTGTCGTTAACTTTCTAAAGCTAATTCTCAGCGTGTGAACGATTTCATCCGTCTTATTAACGCACTACTTATAAGAGAGATTACAAATTGTCGCAAATTTCTAACACAAAATCTACTGTCAGTGTTTCAATGATCCACTTTGACAATCGTTTCACATCCTATTGACTACGATATGTATCGCCAATGGAATGAACTAGATAACTGATATTGATTACGAAAGTCTAATATGGAATTTCAATTGTCTGTCGTTCAAGCATGAAGAATTGATTTCTAGGCAAGATCGTCAGTCGTTTTCATGCAGAAAATACAAGCCGATCATCAATTTCAGTATCCTATGAACGTGGACATCACTGCTTCCCAACACTAGACAGAATATTCTCATTTGTAGCATTGATAGTATACTCATTTAGCCTTTAAACTTACCATCTCTTTAATGTATGCATCTTCATACTCTCGATCAAAATAAGGTAAAGCATCGGTAGACATGTCGATTAATTCAAGGCCAACGTTGAACGTGTGCAATGGAGTAAAAGCTTGGTGAAAACAGTCTGTTGGAAATGCGTTCCGTACTCAGTATCTGCTGAGCATGTCTGTCGACTCTGTCCCTTGTTTGAAGATCTCACGCATGCGTACCAGTGTCTCTTCTTCAGAAGGCAGTATAGTATACGGTTGGAGTGGTAGAGTACAGTAGAATGACTGAAAAATGATCAGGCTGACTAGTGTATTTGGGCATTTCAACGACCTCAACACGCTCGACGCTCGACTCCACTCTATTCTACAGTATGATGAGAGACGACGGGTACGGTACGGTATAGTCTGGCGCGTTACAGTACGACACGGTGCAGGTCAGTACAGTTCGGTTCGGCACAGTTCAGGCTGGTCCGGTTCAGCACGGCTTAGTCCGGTTCAGTTCAGTAAGGTGCAGTTCCATTCAGTTCGGTTTAGTTTAGTTCAGTTCAGTTCAGTTCGGTTCAGTTCAGTATGGTGCAGTTCAGTTCAGTTCAGTTCAGTATGGTGCAGTTCGATGCAGTTCAGTTCAGTGCAGTTCAGTTCAGTGCAGTTCAGTTCAGTGCAGTTCGGTTCAGTTCAGTACGTACCAGTTGATGGTGTCACACTAGAATCCTTAATAACAGTTTACTAATAGCGTGGCATTACAGTAGTTGTATACAAACACTGCAACCTTGACTACTATATGAGTAGTAGGTAAGAGAGCGAGACGATAACTGGCCCTTCAGCGCAAAATAATAACCAGGACTATCATCTTTCTGGTCATTCTACTCTACGGTATCACTGAAATGGTCAATCATACTGTACAAAACCAATCTAGCCGCTAATTTAGACGGCAACCATCGACTGCATCTAATTGCATATAGCGAGCTTATTCGTTGTAGGCACACGTTATTGTAGTTAGAAGAAACTGTAAAATAGTCAGTCTCCAAATTGTAGCATATTGTAAGACCATTTCTGGTCTTTCTCTTTCTTTTTATACAGTAGTAGAGATCTCTATAATGACGTCAGGTTAGCTGAAATATATTGCAGTTAACCGTACTGTATGATATGCAATCATTTTGGCATGAAATTCTTTGCTGCACAGTAGTAGACATCTCTATAATGACGTCAGGTTAGCTGAAATATATTGCAGTTAACCGTACTATATGATATGCAATCATTTTGGCATGAAATTCTTTGCTGTACAGCAGTAGACATCTCTATAATGACGTCAGGTTAGCTGAAATATATTGCAGTTAACCGTACTGTATGATATGCAATCATTTTGGCATGAAATTCTTTGCTGCACAGTAGTAGACATCTCTATAATGACGTCAGGTTAGCTGAAATATATTGCAGTTAACCGTACTGTATGATATGCAATCATTTTGGCATGAAATTCTTTGCTGCACAGTAGTAGACATCTCTATAATGACGTCAGGTTAGCTGAAATATATTGCAGTTAACCGTACTGTATGATATGCAATCATTTTGGCATGAAATTCTTTGCTGCACAGTAGTAGACATCTCTATAATGACGTCAGGTTAGCTGAAATATATTGCAGTTAACCGTACTGTATGATATGCAATCATTTTGGCATGAAATTCTTTGCTGCACAGTAGTAGACATCTCTATAATGACGTCAGGTTAGCTGAAATATATTGCAGTTAACCGTACTGTATGATATGCAATCATTTTGGCATGAAATTCTTTGCTGCACTATATATATATAGCATATAAAGAGAGATATATAGGTTATATACTGTAGACTATATTCTATTGCAAGAATGTTATGTAAAATGATATAGGACTACTCAGAGAGGAGCAAATCGCGTCCTCTTTATAATAAAGAGACTGGAATGAAGATACTGTATACGACTGCAATAGCAGGATCGTTCTGTTAGGCGAATTTATACTGTATGCAGGAGTCTGAATATGCGATTTCGATACACACTTTCACGTTCTCCTCACTCTCTGCCTATAGCCTGATGTATGCCATACAGTATAAGAAAATGGCTGAATAAAGAGTATCAATTGCTGGCAAAATACGAGTCTAAGAAAATGGCTGAATATAAAAAGTATCAATTGCTAGCAAAATACGAGTCGCCTTCCCTTTTTTGCTTTATGCATCGACTGAGGATGTCTGTCTGTCCATTTACACTGGGCTAGGCACTACCGTATGGCACATAGTACTGCGCAATTGCTTGCATTCCTTCATTCATTTCCTTGTCAATCGCCGTTGTTTCTATAGCAACCGTATAGGCGGTGCCATCCTTTCTGATCATAGCTCATCCAGGACAGGGTCTCGTACACGTATTCCTTTCCAGTCGAAAGTTGTTACTTACCTTGGTTAGTTCACTATCGCAAGCGGTTAACGATATGGCGGGTTATGAACTAATGGAACTTATTTCAACAATTCTTAAAAGACAAAATTGACAAGTTATGGCGTAATCTATAAATTAAATACTTTCAAGAAGGTAAAATAAGCTGTAAAACCATGACGACTAGTCCCAAACCGCCAGAATTTTTTGAAAAAGACTCCTATATGACGGAGAGTCTCCTTTGGCCGCCATCAAAATTCAATGTTGACAACGATCGCTCTAATTCTAAATTGGAATCGATACAGGAAGAAATCAATGATTGCCAATCAAGAGAAAAAGACAAGAATGACTATCAACTGAAAATATCTGATTTAGAGGTTAATCGAGCAATAATCTCCGCTACATGTTACAGTCCTCTCATCGTCAATATTTTCTCCTCCTCTATAATATGCATAGAGGATTCAGTGATACAGCCTTTTATCTGTATTGTTGATAAAGATAAATTATCCTTAAAATACAGTAGTTTATTATCACGTAACGAGAAGTAGAAATTATTTCCAATTAAAGCTAAACCCATTCGCAGTAACAGCTATTACCTTAAAACTTTTAGTACAAAATAGACACATCGATTAGGAGATATCTTTATCAGAAACCACTTTATTATATACAGTTGTACACTAATTATAATTATTATTTTCCGATCTTTTAACAGGCAAAATTAAATCAAAATACTATCCATTTTGCAAAATTAAATGAGCGGCTAATTGTATTAGATGAAGAAAGGATGCGAGCACTAGAAAGAGTCTCGGAAACTGAAAAGGAAAAGAGAATCTTGGAGCAAAATGCTAATAGAGATAAGATAATTGTCGAAACAGAAAGACACCAGTTGGAGCAAAAATTAAGGTTCACCTTAAAATTAGTTAAAATTCTCATCTAGGAGATTAACGTAATTGATGTATACCAGTAGCCATAGTACACTGAATAACATTTGAAAATTTAGGAATGAATACCAAAATCAACAAACATTGCAAAATGAAATTACCCGACTGCGAGCGTACATCGGTAATGATATAAGCAGAAATCTGGAAAGAACTTGGCAAGAAAAAGCAACTGAAGAACAGGATAAAAATAAAGTTGGTCATTCTATGTTCATAACTTGGTCAAAATAACAACAAATAGAAGTGAAATATGTTAAATAGTAAAAATAAAATGCAGAATGTTAATTCTATTTATTGACAAATTCAGAAGATAAATGAATACATTGCTAATTTTGCAGCGACTTACTATGGAAAATGAAAGATTACAAGATACGATAGAACTATCAAATTTGCAGATATCGGCGCTAAATGATATGGTTGAAATGCTACAGAATCAAATTATAAATAAGGTATACATTTAGTTCATTAACTTCTCAAAATAGAATTTGATTCGAAATTGGTGCTAACCTAGCATTAGTATTGGGTATGATAGATGCGTACACAACAGTCCGTCAATAGAGAAATTAAGTATTAGAATCAAACATTTTGTTACTCAAATAATATTTATCTCAAATAGAGCCAAGAATCACTGATAACAAGTAAAGAGGAATCACTAGAATTATTATCAAGGTTTGCACATTAATATCTTAAATTCAAAGTATTACACTCCAATAGCAAGTCATGAAGTAACTTTAGAATTTCTTAAATAATATTAACGACGCATATTTAGATGGAGGCAGAAAGTCTATTCTCTATTGTTACAATTAAAATCAAATGACCTAGCAATGGAAAGACTTCAGCAGCAGCATCAACAGAAAGTAATTATTTCAGCTTTATCTCCTCTGATAATATGAAAATATTTGACAATTGTAAAAATATATTCCAGATTAGTTCATTACATAGGTCTTTAGAAGAGACTCGGAACGACAACCTAATTACATCTCGTGCACTTGCTAATGCAAAAGCTCAAATTCAGATTGAAATTAATCACCGTCAGGTAAGCAATTTTAAATATCATACATTCTTATATAAAAGATAATAAATTTATAAATCGCGCAATTATCGTATGGTCTGTAATATTACTGAAAATATCACAATTTATATTTCATAGGAATATTACAAAATCAGTTGTTGATGAAAGCTAATAATAACTTAATAACTATATATTAGAACAGGGATGATGAAATAAAACGCTATAAAATCGAAATTGAAAACCTTAGATCAAAATTATCCGAAGATGATCTATGTATAACATCTTTGAAAACTGTTGCAGAATCGTAAGTTATTTTCTATATCGTCATCTAAACCTGAATAATTCCATTAATTCTCTTTTTACTTGCATAGTATGACATCTACGCACGAAAATTTTATTCATTTGCAAAACAAAAGTCATAATGAACTCTCTGGCTTTAATGAAAGGCTAAACTTTGCTTGTAGTCGGTTAAAAACCTTACAAGGTACCTTCATTGTTGAATTTTCAAAATTTGGGCTCGAGTAGTGATACTGGTTCCTTATCGCATTTTATATTATGGATTCTCAAATTTTCTGAAATTTTCTACCACTAATGGCACTTGCACCTTTATGATTTCATTCAATCCATAAAATATGTTATCTTTTCTCTAAGGATTACTTGTTCGGCAGGCGACTTTGTCTCGCATGTATGAAATGAACAATCCTGATGAAAAAGATAACGCTATA